GTATCCTCACCGGAGGATTTTTTTCTTTTTTGCATTTATCTTCAGGTAGAGCAGGAGGGAGAGAGGGAGGAAGAGAGAGAAACATCAACGTGAGAGAGACACATCGAGTGGTTGCCACCCACATGACCCTAACCGGGGCAGGGGACAAACTGCAACTGAGGTACCTGCCCTTAGTGGGAACCGAACCCAGGACTCTCTGGTCCATGGGCTGATGCTCTAACCACTGAGCAAAACCGACCAGGGCTGCATTTGTTCTTCTTTTTCTAAAAGCTGTAAAGTTAGGTTGTTTATTTGGGATTTTTTCTTGTTTCTTGAGATAGGCCTGTAATTATATAAAATTCCCTCAACAACAACAAAAAAAACAAAATTCCCTCCTGTTACCACTTCTGCTACATCCCAAACGTTAAAAAAAAATTTTTTTTCCCTTTATTGATTTTTTTAGAGAGAGAGGAAGTGAGAGACAGAAACATCGATGAGAGAGAACATCGATTGGCCACCTCCTGCATGCCCCCAGCTGGAGATCCGGCCCACAACTTGGGCATGTGGTCCTGACCTCTCAGTGCATGGGTTGACGCTCAACTGCTGAGCCACACCAGCTGGACACCTTTTTTAATCTTGAAATCTATTTTGTCATATATAAGTATGGCTACTACCTGCTTTGAAAATACATTTTTTTTTTTTTGAAAATACATTTTTAATGGGAGAAAAATTGGTTGGAGGTGGAGCAGAAATTTGTAAAAACATTTATTTATTTATTTTTTATCTTCACCCGAGGACATTTTTCCATTTTTTGTTCAGATAGAGTGGGAGGGAGGGAGAAGAGAGAGAGAGAGAGAGAAACATCGACATGAAAGGGACACAACAAGTGGCTGCCACCCGCACGACCAACCAGGGCCGGGGACAAACTGCAACCGAGGTACGCGCCCTTAGTGGGAACCGAACCCGGGCCTCTCTGGACCGCAGGCTGACGCTCTAACTGCTGATCCAAACCGGCCAAGGTTGTAAAAACATTTAAAAAATATTTTTATTGATCTCTAAAGAGAGAGGAAGGGAGTGGTGGGGAGAGAAACATTAATGTGAGAGTGAAACATCAATTGGCTGCCTCCTGCACACCCCTTACTGAGGATTAAGCACAAAACTGGGGCATGTGCCCTGATGAGGAATTGAACTAGCAATCTTTCAGTGCATGGGATGATGCCCAACCAACTAAGCAACATCGTCAAGGACAAAACTTTTTTATGTAAAAGCACAGGTATACATATTGTACATAAATAGATACACAGTATATTTGTGATATTAAAGTTTCATGGAGCGAATGACTAGCGGAAAAGGGTGTCTAAAAATGTTTAAAAAATAAAAAAATTGAACTGTCTTATGATCAATTGATTCCACTTCTCGGTACATATCGAAAGAAACCTAAAACACTTTATTGAAAGAATATGTACACCCCTATGTTTATTGAAGCATTATTTACAATAGCCAAGATATTGAAGTAACTCAAGTGCCCATCAATAGACAAGTGGATAAAAATGTTGTGGTGCATACATACAATGGAATATTACTCGGGCATAAAAAAGAATGAAATTTTAGGCCTGGCTGGTTTGGCTCAGCGGTTAGAGGGTCGGCCCACATACCAAAGAGTTGTGGGTTCAATTCTGGTCAAGGGCACGTACCTTGGGTGTGGTTGGTCCCTGGCTCTGGTCGGGTCGTGTGAGAGGCAAACAGTCAATGTTTCTCTCTTCCTCTCTCCTGCTTTCTCCCTTCCTCCCACTCTTTCTGAAGATAAATAGAAAAATATCCTTGGGTGAGGATTAAAAAAAAAAAGAATAAAATTTTACCACTTGTGACAGCATGGTTGAACCTAGAGGGTATTATGCAAAGTGAAATAAGTCAGTTAGAGAAGACAAATACCATTCAATTTCTCTTATCTGTGGACTCTAAAGAACAAAATAAATGAACAAACCACATTGAAACAGACTCATAGACACAGAGAACAGACTGATAGTTGCCAGAGGGGATGGGAGGGTTGGAGGCCTGGCTGGAAAAGGTAAAGGGATTAAAAATACAAATTATGCCCTGGCTGGGTAGCTCAGTTGGTTAGAACATTATCCCAATAAGCCAAGGCTGTGATTCAATCCCCTGTCAGGGCACATACAAGAATCAACCAATGAATGCATAAATAAATGGAACAACAAATAAATCTCTCTCCCCCCCAAAAAAAAAAAAAAAATCAGTAAGTAAGTACAAATTGGTAGTTACAAAATAGTCACAGGGATGTAAAGTACAGCATAGGGAATATAATCAGTGATAGTGTAATAATTATGTATGGTGTCAGGTGGGTACTTGAAATATGGGGTGGGGGTGTGGACAGATTCCATTTTGTAAAGTATATGATTGTCTAACCACTATGCTGTACACCTGAAAGTAATAAATAATACTGAATGTAAACAGTAATTGAAAAAAAAAAAGTTGAGAAACAGCGCCCTACAGCAGTGATTCTCTAAATGTGGTCCTTGATTGATTAAAAATGTACATTTTCAGCCCTGGCGGGTGTGGTTCAGTGTTTACAGCCTGAAGGGTCAGGGATTTGATTCCTGCAAGGGCATGTACCTGGGTTTCAGGTTCCATCCCAGGCCCTGGTCAGGGCACATGCAGGAGGCAACCAATTGATATGTCTCTCTCACATCTCTCTCGCTCTCTTACCCACCCCCTTCCACTTTCTCTAAAATCAATGGAAAAATATCCTCAGGTGAGGAATAACAACAACAACAAAACAAAATGTACATTTTCAGGCCCACCCCAGAGGGACCTACCAAATTGGAAATTATGGGGGCAGAGCCCAGCAATCTATGGTTTAACAAATCCTCCAGGTAATTCTGATGGGCACTAAAGTTTGAGAACCACTGCCCTAAAGAATCTGAATGGGTCTGGCCAGTGTGGCTCAGTGGTTGAGCGTTGACCTATGCACCAAGAGGTTGTTTGTTCAATTCCTAGTCAGGACACATGCCCAGGTTGTGGGCCCAATCCCCAGTGGGGGGCATGCAGGAGGCCAACAATCCATGTTTTCTCTCATTGATATTTTTCTCTCTCCCTTTCCCTTCCTCTCTCTAAAATCAATAAAGGGAGGGGGGAAAAGAAACATTGACGTGAGAGAGAAACATCAATGGGCTGCCTTCCTCTCGTGCCCTCACTGGGAACCCAGCCCACAAACCAGGCATGTACCAGGACAGGAATCCAAGGGGGAGCTCTCAATCCATGGACCTTCACTCAATCCACTGTTCCACACCTGCAGGGCAGGAATCTGTATTTTTTAAAAAAAAATTCTACAACTTACTTTTTAATTTAATTTTATTTTATTAATTTTAGAGAGAGAGGAAAGGAGAGTGAGAGAGATAGAAACATCGATGAGAGAGAACATCAATTGGCCACCTCCTGCATGTCCCCAACTGGGGATTGGGCCCACAACCTGGGCAAGTGCCCTGACTGGGAATCAAACTGGCGACCTCTTGGTGTATAGGTCCATGCTCAACCACTGAGCCACACCGGCAGGGCATGAATCTGTATTATTATTATTATTTTTATCCTTACCCGAGGACATTTTTTCCATTTTTTGTTCAGATAGAGTGGGAGGGAGAGAGAGAGAGAAACATTGACGTGAAAGGGACACATCGAGTGGTTGCCACCGGCAAGACCCAACCAGGGCCAGGGACAAACTGCAACTGAGGTACGTGCCCTTAGCAGGAACCAAACCCAGGTCTCTCTGGACCACAGGCTGACGCTCTAACCACTTAGCTAACTGGCCAGAGCCATGAATCTGTATTTTTAACAAGCTCTCCTAAAGTCATATTTCAGGAAACACTGACATGGAGGAAAAGTGTGAGTGACTTTCAAGATGGTAAAATATCATTTTCATTAGGAGGAAACATGCTAAACAATAATAATAAAGGTCACTAATTACTAAGCATTTAGTAGTGTCTCTGAGTCTGCTTGCACGGTCTATTAATTCTCAGGAAGAACCCATGAAGAAGTTAAGAGGGTGGACTCTGAAGCCATACTGCCTGACTTATGCATCTGTAAAGTGACAATAACGAAGGTACTTACCTTGTAGGTTTGTTGTGAGAATTGAAGAATCTTATTGATCAGCTCTTAGAACACCTTCCAGGTTGGTACAATTTATGTGTAAGCTATTTTCATCATGCCTAAGAGCACACTGATAAAAGGTGGATTTGAATCCAATCAACATTAACTGCGGAGTGGACTTTTTTTTTTTTTATCCTCACCGGAGGACATTTTTCCATGTTTTGTTCAGATAGAGTGGGAGGGACAGAGAGGAAGAGAGACAGACAGACATCGACATGAAAGGGACACATTGAGTGGCTACTTGCCACATGACCCAACCAGGGCTGGGGACAAACTGCAACCAAGGTACATGCCCTTAGCAGGAACCAAACCTGGGTCTCTCTGGACCGCAGGCCGACGCTCTAACCGCTGAGCCAAACTAGCCAGGGCCAGAGCGGACTTTCTTAAGGACTAAACTATAATACAGTGTTTCTCAAAGTGTGGTCAGCCACTAGTAGCACACCAGTTTGTTAGATATGCAAATTAGATCCCATCCCAAATCTGCTGAATTATAAACTCCGGGGGTGGGGCCCAGCGGTCTAAAATAGAACTCCTTCAGGTGATTTGGATTCACACTATAGTTTGGGGACCACAGCTACAGTCTTTAGAGTTTCTGGTGTGGGTGTGCGCGTGCGCGCGCTTGGGTGGGTATGTTAAAAAGATAAATAAACAAAAATTTTAAAAAGCCTAGAGGTGCTGGGAGCAATCCAAGAGTCCATTTCACCTTGGGGCAAGAAAACCAATTCAGTGGTGCTCACCAGTTCCTGCTAGTTTGGGCAGGCTGCTGACTAGCGCGCAGGGCCTTCTGGGGATTGTAGTACGAATCATTCCTGAGCCGGAGGCGCCTGCGCGTTGGCCGCCAACTCGCTTCAGTCGCTGTGGTCCGGCCTTGGGACCGGCTGCCATCTTAGTCCAGGGACTGAAGAGTCGCCGCCGCCCCGAGTCCCGGTAAACACCCGCTGGCGAACTGGGGGCAATTCTGAGAAAAGGGGGAATAAGAGCGCTCGAGAATGAGGGGTAGAAGGGTGTGGCGCGCCAGCCGGGACCCAGAGCCGTGCCTGCTCTCTCTTCCCTCGGAGCCGGTGCCCGTGGGGGCGCGCGGAGCTCGGGCTAGTGGCTGGGGCCAGGTTGGGGGTGGACGGCCGGACGCGCCGGAGGGCCACTGTGGGGCTGAGACGTCCGGAGATTCTTGCCCCGCAGACGCCAAGTTATGGGAGTATTGGGCCGCAGCGAGAACCGTCAGGGTCCGGCCCCGCGCCCCTCAGTCCTGCTCGGGGCCACCCTCTAGCGGCCCGGCCTTTGCGCGGGGCCCGCCGGCAGCGGTCGGCGCCGGCGACGTGGCCCTTTAAGGGGCGGTGGCTGGGCCCACCTGCCACCCGGCTGGCCTTCCCGAGACTTTTTGGAGCCCCCAGTCGCGAGGGAGGCCTAGCACAGCGGCTGCTTCCTCAAGTCTCTATCACTCGCCTCCTTCCATTGTTCCCCAGCGTGGTGGTCCGGGTCTGGGCCCGGGCGCCCTCCTTAGTGCCCACCTCCACCGCGGCCCCGGCGGCGCCTCCCGGCGCTAAGTTTTGCAGACGTGGAACTGTCATTGTCCTCCCTCCTGAGAGTGCCCTTCTCTTTCGTAGAGGGACAAAGGTAGCCGTGAACGTATTCTGAGGGTGGAAACAGGATGAAGACATGACTTTGTGAGGAACTCAAGTGGTCAGACTTAGTTCCGAGCCGCGATTTAGAGAGAGGAAAATACCGGGTCTGTGTCCCGAGGTTGAGCCTGGAATGTAACCAGGTGAACTTGCAAACTACCCGAAATTCATGATTCCCCAGTAACAACTCATCTTGTTTTCTTGGTTATATTCTATCTTAATCTTGTTACATTTTTTTTTTTTGCCATCATTCAACAGTTTCAGTTACTTTTATTGAGAGTGAGGGGTGGAGAAGGAAGAGTGGGATTTCTCTTTGAAAATTACTGAGGCACTGGAGTCAGCCACTTATCGTTGCACTTAGTTGGGGTCTCCGGCATCTATTCCTAATGCAAATCGATCTACGGAAGTATGTAAGGGAGTATGTATTACCACCCTCAAAAGCTGCTAAGGGTTTATTACTCAGCTGAAATCAAGTTCTCATGGCAGATCTGGTGAGAAGAACCTGCATTGTATATTCATGGTTTTACTCAAGGTACAGTTACTTAATTTTTAAGATTTAGATATGAAGATATGAAGGTGGAAATTCAGCTGGGTTTGTTTTTTTTTTTTGAACAATGAATAAGTTTTGGGGGTGTGAGTCCAAAAGGAATTCCTACATCTTCAGTATGAGTCAAGTCAATAGGAATATGATATGAAATAAATTTTTTAAAAGTGCAGAATACTTATGTAATGTATTCTAGTGTACATCATTTCTACATTCCTTTAGAAAAAATACATCTTTACACATATTGGAAGAGACAAACAACTCTAGTCCCTAGATTTGACCATTAGAATAATTAGGGGAACTTTTTTTTTTTTAAATCCTCACCAGAGGACATTGTTGCATTTATTTTCAGATAGAGTGGGAGGAAGAGAGAAACATCAATGTGATAGAGACACATCGAGTGGTTGCCACTCACAGGCCCCTGGGCCGGGGACCCACTGCAACTGAGGTATGTGCCCTTAGCAGAAACCGAACGGGACTCTCGGGTCCACGGGCTGACGCTCTAACTGCTTAGCCAAACCGGCCAAGGCTAGGTGAACTTTTTAAAAGTAGAAATTCCAGGGTCTCATCTCCTGAGATTGATTTAGTACCTCTGGGTTGGACCTGAAGAATTTCCTTTTCAAACAGATCTCAGGCAGTTCTCATGGTTTTGGGAACCACTGAGGCAAACACTATGTGGATATACTAAGGACAGCTCAAAAAGCTTTGAGATAGAAGAGGAACAGACCAGTTCTATCTGAGGATTGGCTAGAGGAGGAGGCAGGACCTGCTGGTGCACCTAATTTGGGTCTTAGATGGTGAGTGGGAGTGTGATAGGGATGGGGAAAAGGAAGAACAGAGCAGGCAGAGGAAACTCCTTAATGCAGTGTGTAAATGCAGAGGATTGTGGAGGAAAAAAGCTTTGGAGAACTGAGATTGGGATGGGGAAGGAGAGCATTATGGGAAGGAGAGCATTCTGGTGAGCAGAATGGTAAAAGGAGGCAGTTATATGAAAAGTTCCAAGTATACTAGAAATCTTGTTTTATGTTGTTAACAATAAATATCGATTTTAAAACAGGTAAGTGATATTTTGAGTACATGTGTGTTTTAGAAAGATTGCTCCGGTAAGTGAAAGAATGGAAGAATGAACGGTTGTTGCAGAGGTCTATGTGAGAGGTGAAAAGGCTTGACCTTGGAGGGAGGCTGTGGGGATGATCAAGGGATTAGGTTTAGTTCTTTACTAGCACAATATTGCTAACATAATTTTGGATGAGAATTTTTTAGTGCCAGTCTGGGTAAAGGGCTCATTTCCTGTCAAAAGAACCCATTAGGAAATCTGAATAATATTGCCAGGCTATATATATTAATGGTATCAGAGTGATTGACCTTTCATTCCCATCTTTCAAAGTTAGGAAGAACCAGATTGGGTTCATTTTGGAGGAGAACTTGGAAATCAGATTGAAATTTATAACTGTGAACATTATTGATCTAAGCCTGTTGCAAATGTATTTGTTCAACCTTCAGAAACTTGGTATTAGAAATTTAGAGTTGAAAGAGATTGCAGAGATTATCTAGTCCACAGTGGCAAATATATTTTGGTTTATGGACTAACTCTACTTTGAAGTAACTTCTAGAAGCAATGTGTTGAGAAAGATTTTGGTCATGGGGGTTCTCGGAAAAGTGAGTTATGATTGGTTGGTGATGCCTCCTGTGGACATAGTTCTCCAGTGGAAGGTATATGTGCTAGGTATATACTATTCTTAGACTAGTTCATCCTCTTTGTTATCTTTTCTTTTTTTTTTAAGAAAGTTTTAAGCATGTTAAATTATTCATCTAAAATTATTTAAGAATCAATCAGAGTTAGAGCTAGAACCAAGTTGTGTAACTCTTAGTGGGTTGTTATCCAAAATGTAGCAAGATGCATGTGTGCTACTAAAGAGCTTTTGGTATTAGACCAAAATGGGGAAAAAAGGTTTTTCTAGCCTTTGCCTCTTGACTGTTTAGGTAAGAGTTTAACAAGGAGCTTTGGCCTAGAAGTAAGTTTTGTTTTATTCATTCCGGCTTAAGAAGTTTGTGTTAGTATTTAGGGATTGGTTTCCTTTATGTGAGTTAAGGCAAAAGTGCATAATTTATTATTTTTTTCTGTATTTATAGCACCTAGCCAAATTCTGGGTTCATAATAAGCGCTCAGTAAAGGCATGTTGATTTTTGTGGCTGTAAATGATACTGGCTTTGAGTCCATATAAATTAGCAAAGGGGGGTGTGTGGAATTGAATTGCAGCATTCTCTGGTTGGGAGGTTGGCCGTCAGCTTAAAATGTTGGGTTGGAAACTAGCTTCACAACTAGAAGTACGTAGTTAACCAGAAGCTGTTCCTGCCTCTATCTATCTTCAGTCTAGCAGTACACTATCCTTGGAAAACTGCTGCCAGCTCAGCTCTTTTGCTTCTTTTCAGAACTGGCTGTAGTCAGATCCTTGGAGTATTTTCTTTTCCTATCCCTACGAGCATCCAAATTTCAGGGACTGCCCTTTCGTGAATCCATTAGGTAGAGTATGTGTTTATATGGCTATTCTCATTTTACCATGTAGCCATTGTACTTAGGTGGGCATTACCCCATACTATGTATGAGTCATTTTCAGCTACTCATCTTCTTATCCTGCCTGCCCCAGCAATAATGATCTATCCAGTGAAACTTAAAAAGATGTGCTGTCACATTCCCCAAGGTCATCGCTGATTTGAATCATTTAACCGTAGAAGTAGTGTGTTAATGGACCCTTCTTCCCCTCTCAGGTAACATGCATTTAACAGTGGCCTTCTGGAGACAACGCCTTAATCCAAAGAAGTGACTCCTGACTTGAACGGTGAGAACTTCAGGTATGGTGGCATGCCTGTGAGAGACTCTGTGACATAGGAATGGTGCAGAGGGTGAGCCCTGGTCATATAACTGCTGTGAGAGATATGGAAAGAGAGCACTGTTGATGCTGCCTTCATCAGTTGGTTGTTGAAGAAAAAGGCAGTTTCTACCTAGATCTGGAAACCCAAAGCCTCCTCTAAGAGAATCAGCAGATGAGCCACATTGTGCTCTTAATATGGGACCTCTGACTTTTCTGTTTTTTCTGGCTTCCTTAGATATACACGCTTTTCCCATTTGTGCTCCCCCCCCTTTATTGATTTTAGAGAGAGAGGAAGAGAGAGAGAGAGATAGAAACATCGATGAGAGAGAACATTGATTGGCTATCTCCTGCATGCCCCGCCCTGGGGATTTGGCCTGGGCATGTGTCCTGACTGGGAATTGAAGGGGTGACTTCCTACTGCATGGGTCGACACTCAACCACTGAGCCACACCAGCCAGGCTAATCTGTTCTTTTTTATAATTATGGAGAGAAAAGAAGGAGATGGGGGATGCTTTGTGAGAGCTACTAGGAAAAGGAATGAGTAAGAGGAAAAGTAGATAAATAAGATGTTAAAAGGAAGAATTCTTAGAATCTGACAATAAAAGTAAAAACATGAAAATAAATATGTAGAGCAAAAAAAAGGGGCAGGGGAGAAGATGGTGTTATCTGCGGTTAAAGAACAAAGCAGCTTTGCCCTGGCCAGTTTGGCTCAGCGGTTAGAGCATCGGCCTGCGGTCTGGAGAGACCCGGGTTCATTTCCCGCTAAGGGCATGTACCTCGGTTGCAGTTTGTCCCCGGCCCTGGTTGGTCGTGTGGGTGGCAGCCACTCCTTTCACGTCGATGTTTCTCTCTCTCTCTTCCTCTCTCTCCCTCCCACTCTATCTGTACAAAAAATGGAAAAATGTCCTCGGGTGAGGATAAAAAAAAAAGAACAAAGCAGCTTTAATTTATTTAATGGTGATGTAATACCTTACAAAAATTTATGTTCTAGGAAAGATTGTCCATACCAAATTTTTTAAAAATACTTCTAAAATATCCACTTTATCCTGAGCTCACAAAGTAGTTCTGTGTGGAAAGAAAACTGGGCCAACATTCAGAAGACCTAAGTTTTAGCCTTGGATTGTTTGTTACTTAAATTCTATGATCTTGGGCAGTTCACTTAAGTCTCTTTGGATCTCTCTTTCCTCACTTGTGTATTAAAAGTATTAAACATGATCTCTCAGATTCCTTCTAGCTTACTCTTTGATTATACTTAACACTTCATGCACTGGCTTACTAATTTTTCAGGGCTTTGTTTATATCACAATATAAGACTGGTTTCAGAATTATAATAGCACTTCATAATATCCAGTGCTTTATAATTGAGAAACCATTTTAAGTTCTACTTTATTTTTTTATTTTATTTATTTATTTATTTATTTATTTATTTTTTTTATCCTCACCCGAGGACACTTTTTGATATTTTGTTCAGATAGAGCGGGAGGGGGAGAGAGAGAGAGAAACATCGACGCGAAAGGGACACATCCAGTGGTCGCCACCCACACGACCCAACCAGGGCCGGGGACAAACTGCAACCGAAGTACGTGCCCTTAGCGGGAACTGAACCCGGGTCTCTCCGGACCGCAGGCCGACGCTCCAACCGCTGAGCCAAACCGGCCAGGGCTTTATTTTATTTTTTAAACTTATCTTTATTGTTGACTGTATTATAGATGTTCCTTATTTTTCCCCCATTGACCCCCCTCCTCCCCACTCCCTCCTGCCTTTCCCCACACCATTGGTTATGCATATATACATATAAATTCTTTGGTATATTTCTTCCAACCCTCAACCCCCCTTCCCTTTGAGGTTTGTCAGTCTAGCAACCAATTTGTACTTCTTAATCCCTTCACCTTTTTAACCCATTCCCCCAAACCCTCTCCCATCTGACAACCAACAAAATTTCTCTGTATCTATGAGAATGTTTCTGTTCTGCTTGTACATTTTCTTTGTAGATTCAATTATTGATAGATATGTATTCATTGCCATTTTGTTTGTTCATATTTTTTATCTTTTTCTTCAAGAAGACCCTTCAACATTTCATATAATAATGGTTTGGTGGTGATGAACTCCTTTAGCTTTTCTTTATCTGGTAAACTCTTTATATGGCCATCGATTCTAAATGACAGCTTTGCAGGACAGAGTAGTCTTGGTTGTAGGTTCTTGCTTTTCATCACTCTGAATATTTTTTGCCACTCCCTTCTGGCCTGCAAAGTTTCTTTTGAGAAATCAGCTGACAGTCTTATGGGAACTCCCTTGTAGATAACTAACTGCTTTTCTCTTGCTGCTTTTAAGATTCTCTCTTTGTCTTGAACCTTTTGCATTTTTTTTATCCTCACCCAAGGACATTTTTTTCTTTTTTCTTTTTGTATGTGCCCCTAGCGGGAACTGAACCTGGGACTGTCTGGTCCACAGGCCGATGCTCCAACCACTGAACCAAACCGGCCAGGGCGAGGACATTTTTCAATATTTTGTTCAGATAGAGTGGGAGGGAGAGGGAGAGGGAGAGGGAGAGGGAGAGGGAGAGGGAGAGGGAGAGAGAGAGAGAGAGAGAGAGAGAGAGAGAGAAACATTGATGTGAAAGAGACATATCGAGTGGTCGCCACCCACACGACTCAACCAGGGCCGGGACAAACTGTAACTGAGGTACATGCCCATAGCGGAACCGAACCCGAGTCTCTCCAGACTGCAGGCCAACGCTCTAACCGCTGAGCCAAACCGGCCAGGGTGAACCTTTTGCATTTTGATGATAATGTGTCTTGGGGTTCATCTTGTTCAGGAGTCTCTGTGCTTCCTGGACTTGTATGTCTGTTTCCTTCACCAGGTTAGGGAAGTTTGCTGCCATTTTTGTTTCAAACAGGTTTTCAATTTTTTGTTCTCTATCTTCTCCTCTGGCACCCCCAAGATGCGAATGTTGATATGCTTGAAGTTGTCCCAGAGGCTCCTTACACTATCCTCATTTTTTTGGATTCTTTTTTTCTTTTTGCTGTTCTGATTGGGTGTTTTTTGCTTCCTTATATTCCAAATCGATGGTTTGCTTCTTGGCTTTACCTCCTCTACTATTAAATCTGTGTACATTATTGTTTATTTCAGTTAGTGCCTCTTTCATTTCTGGCTGGTCCTTTTTTTATGCTCTTGAGGCCCTCACTAAGTTCACTGAGGTTCTCACTAAGTTCATTGAGCATCCTTATAAGCAGTGTTTTGAACTCAGCATCTGTTAAGTTGCTTATCTCCATTTCACTTAGTTCTTTTCATGGAATTTTGTTCTTTCGTTTGGGACCTGTGTCTTTGTCTCCTCATTTTGGCTGCCTCCCTGTGTTTGTTTCTATGTATTACTTAAGGAGAGGTATGGGGCTAGCTGAGACCAGATGCTGCTTGTTTGAAAGAATTTAGGAAAACCTGAAGCAGGATCCAAGACAGGCCAATCCTATGGTAAAGCAACTGGCAGCAGCTTGGGTGGGCCTGAAAGTTGGGTGAGGCGGGGCCTCAGAGAATCACCAGAAGAGGGTAAACAGTGTAACCAGGTTGCTGGAGTCCCAGATATGACGACTGTCTACTGTCCCAGGGAAGGGCTCAAGAAAGGAACAAAGGCCTCTGATAGCACGTTTGTCCCGGAGAAAGCTGCCTCTCCAGCCCTGGCTCCAATGCCAAACAGCTCAGTTCTTCCCCATATGACTCTGGTGCCTTTCAAGCTGCTTCCCCTACGCTGGAGCCTGGAGGGTACGAGTCCGAATAAGCCCACGTGCGGGCCCTTTAAGAGGAGCTGCGTGGGGCTCCAGCCACCTCAGCCTCCCTCAGCCTCAGTTCCCGCTGGTTTTACAGCCAGAAGTATGGGGATTCTCTCCTGGCAATGGAACCCTGAGCTGGGCACCTGGTATGGGACCTCTCAGTCCTCAGGGAGGACCTTTCCATCCGAGGTATCCTCCTAATTTTTATCTGCCACACATGGGTGTGGGGCCAGCTCTTCACGCATCTGCCACTCCTACCAGTCTCCATGTGGCTTCTTCTTTAATTTCATAGTTATAGGACTTCCATTTAGCTTAATTTTAGGCGGTTTTGAATGATGGGTGTTCTGTAGTTTAGTTGTAACTTTGATGTGGTTGTGGGAGGATGTGATACCGTGTTTACCTATGCTGCCATCTTGACCAGAAGTCTTAAGTTCTACTTTATTTATTTATATTTTTAATTTTAATTTAATTTTTTTATCCTCACCCGAGGACATTTTTTCATTTTTTGTTCAGGTGGAGTGGGAGGGAGAGAGAGGAAGAAAGAGAGAGAAACATCAACGTGAAAGGGACACATTGAGTGGTTGCCACCTGCATGACCCAACCAGGGCTGGGGACAAACTGCAACCGAGGTATGTGCCCCTAGCAGAAACTGAACCCGGGTTTCTCTGGACCGCAGAATGATGCTCTAACCGCTGAGCCAAACCAGCCAGGGCTTAAGTTCTACTTTAAACATTAGTAGAAAGAGCCCTGGCCGGTTTGGCTCAGCGGTTAGAGCGTCGGCCTGCGGTCCTGAGAGACCCGGGTTCAGTTCCCGCTAAGGGCGCGTACCTTGGTTGCAGTTTGTCCCTGGCCCTGGTCGGTTGTGCGGGTGGCAGCCACTCGATGTGTTCCTTTCACATCGATGTTTCTCTCTCTCTCTCTCTGTTCCTCTCTCTCCCTCCCACTCTACCTGAACAAAAAATGGAAAAATGTCCTTGGGTGAGGATAATAAAAAAAAACATTAGTAGAAAGAGAGACTTGTAGGAAACCTAGGTATAGAAATGGTAATTTTGTAATATTCAGCAAGCATTTAATGAGCTCCTGTTGTGCTAGATCCCACGGGGTGGTTAATATAAAACCCCTTGTCAGGAAAACAAATACCAGTAATTATTGTAAAAAGCAAGGTGATATTATAAGGATTGCATTGAATTGCAAGTTAAGATGTTAACTTTTGATT